TCACTCTCTATCATGCGCGCGCGCGCACAGACTCGCGCTACGCGCAGCCTATCTTTCCCAAGTCAGATATTCACAAACATCACACAAAGAATGGCGAGGGAATCAGACAACACGATCTTAGCTTGTAGGGTTCAAGCGGAATCGCTCCGTCACACTTCATAGAAGTCCTTTTGAAACTCCGCGAACCGTTTTCCGTCTTTTTCCCCCCCCGACTTCTCACTCCCGTCTTGTGTTCCTTCGGATCCATGCGGGCATCCACCTCGTCGTGGTCGTCTGCCAAGCCCAAAGACATGCTCCTCCTCTCCCTTTCCTGGCCATATCCCCGACTGTCGAAGCATCTCTTCCGTCCTTGGAAACGCCTCCTCCATAGCTGATGACGCACCACCATCTCCCGCTCTTGGCTCTCCGAAGGGCTCTCTCATCGACTCTCGGTCCTCGTCAGGCACACCAAACCACCAAACATGGAAAGGCGAAAATTTTGACGATGGCAATTCCGCAACGGCACTTTCATCCCTTAAAGTATTACTATTATGATGCCCGAACAGGCGAAACCATTCGGCGTCGAGAGGTCTTCCAGCCCTGTGTCCAAGACGCAGTCCCCTTTCGTTCCACCCAGGACCAGATGGTAGTATAGGCGCAGGAGCGGGATCGGGATCGGGATCGGCTGCACGACCATCAAGGTTCTTAGTCACCTTCACATCGCTGGACGATTCAATCACCTCTGGCGGTTGCCCGAGACAATGTCGAAGGACCTGCTTCGTCCTCTCGCACTTGCGCACGGGCGCCCCTCCTTCCGCCGAAAGCTCGATCTTGCAGTTATGGTTATGAACCACGGAGATTGTACACCTGTCCCCTTCGCTTCCTCCGTCGTGTCTCCGTAGAGTTTCCCATCTTCCCGCCGCAAGCCCGTCGTCGACGGCCCTTCCTCTCAGCCGCCAACCCGTCCACTTCTCCCAAAATGAAGGCGCATCATCCCTCGTGTGACTCGCCATCTTCTTCTTCCCCCTCTTCTTTTTCCCCGCACGCCACAAATCCCTTCCCCTCACTCCTTTCCTTTAATCTATGGGAAATCGAATCGTTTAGAAGCTCTCTCTCTCTCTCTCTCTCTCTCGCGCGCGCGCGAAAGCGGGTATAACTCCCCTTCGATCAAATTTGAGTGGCTTCGTGAGTCGCCTTTTGGCTGCTTCCCAAGTTCATAACACGCACAAGACGAGAAACAACAACGGTGTTTGACGATACACGATATCGTCGAAGGTCGTGAACACTGTTCTGCTGTCGACTTCCTTTCGATTCGATGGATGGTCAATTAACCTACATGCCGTTGGGGACAAAGAGTGATGAGCGCAGGCCTTCCTCCGCCATTCTCTAGGTTCGATATCCTGATGCTGCTCGGCGGTTGTCTTCACCTTGCTGTGCATACCCTGGAGGCCAACCAGTGAGCTCCGATTGCTGTCCCACGTGTCATTCGAGCAGTCTTTTGTGAGGACGGCATTTTCTTTACGGAAATATGAATGCTAGCGGCCTTTTCGGAGTTCAGCGTGGCGCCTGGGTTGTACTGGGCCTCAACTGTACTTCTTCCACGGACTTCGGCGATAATTGCGGTTCACATTCATCCATCCCGGAAAGTTCGATGGAGACCCCCGGTCACCGAAGGCGTTGCCATGAACCTTGTTGCGCTTACCAGGGTACAGATATCAATCGGCCTCGTCCCGTTTGACCTTCCCCTCGCTCTTGTTATATGCTACAAGGGCCATGCCGGCGTGAAAGCCCGTCCTGTCGAGATTTGACAGACTGGCCATGCCAAGCCATGGGAGTGCCACACTGGGTAATACAACCTTCAAGTGCCACCGCACCATGGCATATTCGTAGGCTATAGGGGATGCTTTTATATTATACACCCGAGGCAGGTCTTTTAGTAAGTGGGTCGTAGGGCCGAGGGGTTTGGAGGGGGCGTGGCGAGGTTTTACTGGATGGGGGCATGGAGCGGTTGTTGGGCGTAGAGTGATGTTCCTCGCGTAGAGGTAAGATAGTGAAAGATGTGGGGGTGCGCCAGGAGATGTCAAGAGAGGTGGTAGGATGGAAGGCAGTCTCGTGAGTGAAAAAAAAAAAGAAAAAAAAGAAAAAAAAAAAAAAAAAAAAAAAAAGGACCGGTGGAACTGCATTGGGGAATTATGGGCAGAAGGCCACGAGGAGTTGAGCCCCAAAACACAACACCACAAAGGGGTTGAGCCACAGGCCTGCACGTTGTTTCACCTTCGACGGCTGTGAGGCCTAGGCCCTCATTGGCAATTTTCTTGCTCCAAATATTGGGTCATTGACTCACCGTGAGGGCATGGGAGTGCAGACCGTAGTTTATCTGTTGATGTCGTTTGTCATGTTTGCTATACACAACTCCAAGACTGTGTGTGTGTGTGTGTGTGTGTGTGTGTGTGTGTGTGTGTGTGTGAGAGTGAGAGTGAGAGTGAGAGTGAGTGTGTGTGTTTGAGACATGTGTGCTCTAAGGCATGGGAGGTACAATGCATCATTACTCGTACCCGCGCAGCTCTGACAAACCATATCCGCTCACCGTGAATAAGAGACAGAGCAGGAGTGATGTAACCCGCAGCAAAAGACCGACAAAGCGTGGGACAGCCGTATCCAGTAGTGGAAGGTAGGGAATTTTAAACCGGACTCTACGCGCAGCATCTACTCTTCAACTGCAGTACACAGACCTGACATAGGATAGGCGCATCCAACAATGGAAGGTAGGGGATGACTATGTAGAATGCTGAGAGTAGTATCAATTCTTCAGACGCCGTTTTCAGACAGACCAAAACACACACAATAACACCTCACAAACAAACGCAAGGGATGAGGGGAAGGCTAAGGACAGTGAGGCAAAGGGCAGGGAACCAACACCATAGGATGACTGTTTTTTTTTTTTTTTTTTTTT